AAACAAGCACATAATAAAAATATATAAAAATATATTCATATAATGTAAATTGATTACAAAAAGGCATTTGATTCTGTCCCTCATAGCTGGTTAATTTATGTACCAAAATATTATAAAATTCATACCAGTTTGATTTTATTTTTAAATGTAGTCATGTTTCATTGGAAAACGAAACTAAGTAAAAAATACTGAATCAAAAAAATACAATGAGTTTAATTTCAGGGAGACGCTCTTAGTCCGTTGTGGTTTTGTCTAGTCCTCAACCCGTTATCAGAATTACTCAATAATACTAATGTAGATTTTAAATTAAAATATAATAACTCATATCACATTCTGTCACATTTTCTGTACATGGATGACATAAAAAATTATGCAATCAACAACAATGAACTTACAAAACTAGCAGAGTTAGCAGAGACAAAAAAACTCCTCTTAATTTAAATGATAGAAATTTTTAGCTCAAGATAGTAAGTAAACAGCAGAAAATAGATTTGTGGTCACAAAACTCTCTGCATGGTAGGCACCTTGCCGATCTCGGTCAAGCACATGTCGACAGGCAAGCATCGAACGAGTGACTCCGACGCGGAGAACTCTTCCCAGAGACGGAGGTTTTTGTAATTGCTATTCAGGATCAAGTAAAAGATACTAATAACTATCAAAAACACATTATTCGTATTCCCAACCCTTTAACTTTAAATGTTTGTGGGCCAGGTTTTGGTGGACAATTGCATTTAAAAAAAGTCGCCTATTATAAATATATTCCCAGCACTTTAGAAGTATCTAATTCCGACAAAATATATTGGGACAGGACAATCATAACAGACAATACTATACATTATAATAGACCGGACATAACAATATTAGACAAAATTAAAAAAATCTGTTTTTATAATAGACATAGCAGTTTGCAACACAAACCGGCCAATCGCCATCACCTCCTTGTTCTGCAAAACAATGGAGTCCATTGTAAACTGCCAGCTCATGAGGTACCTTGAAGATCACCAGCTGATTAGTGACCGCCAATACGGTTTTCGCCGTGGTAGGTCAGCTGGTGATCTTCTGGTCTACCTAACTCACAAATGGGCGGAGGCAGTAGAGTTCAAGGGGGAGGCATTGGCCGTTAGTTTGGACATTGCGAAGGCCTTCGATCGGATTTGGCACAAAGCGCTTCTTTCGAAGCTCCCTTCCTATGGGCTTCCCGAGAAATTGTGCGATTGGATCACCAGCTTTCTTGCAGATCGGAGCATCAAGGTCGTTGTAGACGGTGCAAGCTCCGATTGCAAGCCTATTAATGCTGGTGTTCCACAGGGCTGCGTGCTATCGCCAACGCTGTTTCTTCTGCATATCAATGACATGTTGCATACCCGTAACATTCATTGCTATGCAGTTGACAGCACTGGTGATGCTCTTTACACCGGCCGAGCCAATATTTCTCGCGAAAACGTCTCCGAGTGCCGGGACAAACTTGTGTCTGAAGTCGAGTCTCTGCTGGACAGAGTCTCGGATTGGGGGCGACTAAATCTAGTCCAGTTTAACCCCCAGAAGACACAAGTTTGCGCGTTAACCGCTAAAAAGAACCCCTTTGTCGTATCCCCTCAGTTTCAAGGCACTCCCCTTGTTGCCTCAGCCAGTATCGGAATCCTCGGCGTCGACATATCGAGTGACGTGCAGTTTCGTGGTCACTTGGAAGGGAAGGCCAAATTGGCCTCTAAAAAGCTTGGCGTGCTCAGCAGAGCGGGACAGTATTTCATGCCGGCACACCGCCTGCAACTTTATAAGGCGCAGGTTCGGCCGCACATGGAATACTGTTCCCATCTCTGGGCTGGGGCTCCCCAGTACCAGCTTCTTCCACTTGACCGCATCCAGCGCAGAGCGGCTCGAATCGTCGACGACCGAGTGCTTTCCGATCGGCTCGATTCACTGGCGCTGCGAAGAGATGTTGCATCTCTTTGCGTATTTTATCGCATCTATCACGGGGAGTGCTCTGAGGAATTGTTCGGATTAATCCCAGCCGCCAAATTTCGTGAACGCACTACACGTCAAACGTCCCGATACCATCCACACCATCTGGATGCTTGGCGGTCCACCACTGTACGTTTCACAAGGAGTTTTCTTCCACGTACAACCTCTCTGTGGAATAGTTTACCACCGGCGATTTTTCCGGACCGATACGACCTGGGGACCTTCAAGAAAAGAGCTTACTCCTTTCTAAAGGGCCGGCAACGCACCCGCAATTCTCCTGGTGTTGCGGTTGATCATGGGCGGCGGTAGTCACTTAACATCAGGTGAGCCGCATGCTCGTTTGCCCCTTCTTCTATAAAAAAAAAAAAAAAAAAAAAAAAATTCGAAAAAAATTACAAAGTATGTAGACCTGGCTATTGAAGTAAAAAGGCAATGGCAAGTAGACTCCGTAAAAATCATTCCTATCATCATATCTACAACTGGTGTAGTTCCAAAGACCCTTCAAACCAGCCTCAACATGCTTCAAATGCCTAAATACACTCTAACATTTACACAAAAAGCTGTCCTACGTATGGTGGGCGTGGCTTCCTGAGCGTGCTCACCATGCTTAATAGCAGTGTACAGCCTCCGTAATTACTTCCTGGCGAGATTGGATGATCCATTCTATAATGACGTAATTTCTAGTGACAAAAGGCTCACCTCTCTATCCTTATCCAATGAGCAATGGCAGGATCCAGCAGTACATAGAATTTCCGACCGGGAGACCGTATGGAAGGAGATGGAGCTCCACGGGAGGTACTACAGGGATCTACATGAGCCGTTCGTAGACACGGTCGCCTCCCTCAACTGACTACGTTTCGGTGACCTCAGTCAGCCTCTCGGGTTATCTGAGGCGACTGGGACTCCGTGACGGACTGCTCCGGGCTCAAATGCAGAAGGCGGTGCTCCTCGATACGGCCCGCATTGTCCGCCGGTTTCTTTCCCTTTACCCCTAACCCTCGGCCGTTGTTATCCCCTGCCGAGGGCCTCCATATGGTTGTGCTTTTATTTATTTATGTATTTTTGAATTTATTTTATTGTATTGATGTTTATGTATATTTATCTTTTAATTTACATTTATAATTATATATTTATAGAACCCAACCAGATGAGAAAACTATAACTATGGAGATAACCATATTAATAATAATAATAATTGTTTATTATCAACAATATAAATCACAAAATTTTTTGAAGTCTCTGACTCCCAAACTAGACGAGTCTGTATATATATATATATATATATATATATATATATATATATATATATATATATATATATATATATATATATACACACATAAATATTAAAGTTCACATATAATTTATGCATTAACATAACCGAAACGTTAATATTAATTTTCACATATTAATCACTTACCTGTTTTTTGTTTATTTATTTACCTATTCTGAAACTATAAATTAAATTATTAAAATTTTCTGTATTATTGTAATCTAACGACAACAATCAATCTCGAGATCTAATTTTACACTCATGTTTTGAAAGGGGATAGAAATTTAGAATTTTGTTAAGTTTGTTATAGAGTACTATAGAAAGATATGCGCTGTGCCGTCTAGCAAAAGCAGTGCGACATCTGAACGGTGCCAGTACGTTGGGTATTCTACGTTTGTTACGACAGATCTCAGGGTCGTAGGGAGTGTGATCGTGTTGCTTGGTGATCAAATTCTGAACGTATTCTGACAGACAACAACTTGCATTCGCTGTATAATAATTTTGTTGAGAATCTATAAGGTTTAAAAGTCATAGTTTTTAGTAAACATCTTTGTGCTCTTTCGAGCTTAATTAAAAATGTTTACGCGATCCTCCCCAGGCACTTATGCAATAGCCTATAATTGATTGTGCGAAAGTAAAGTGTATAGTGCGCAATAAGTCAAAATTAGCAATGTGTCTTAACTTTTTAAAAGTTCAAATAAGTATACGAGTCCTGAATGAAATAAGATCAACGTGTGGGAGCCAGCTAAATTTTTCGCCTAACAGCACACCAAGGTATTTTACAAGATTTTGAAGATCAGTTCTGTATCCTCAACAGCTGGAGTATTGGTAACACGTAACTGTAAGTACGTTGATTTAGATACGTTTAGTGTTAGTAAACTGTCCTCAAGCCATTGTACCACACATTGGAGACCCCTTTCAATAATCACCTGAACGTCAGCCCAAGTCTCTCCATAAAATATTATAGCCGTGTCATCGGCATAAGTGAATAATTTGCCATTTTTAATGGCATACGACAAGAAATTAAAAAGAGACTTGGCCCTAGGATACTTCCTTGAGGAACACCAAAAGTGACACCAGCATCAGAACTGATGAAGTTTTTAATCTTAACTCTCTGCACTCGGTGACTTAAGAAGCTTTTAAGAATAGAGAGGGCCGAATTTCTAATTCCGATATTTTCCAACTTGTGTACAAGAATAGAAATCGAAACGGTGTCGAAAGCCTTGGCTAAATCTAGAAAAAACTTCCGAACATTTTTTTTGTTGATATAACTTATTGGTTACAAATTCAGTCAAGCATTTTACCCCATCTTCTGTAATTCCAATTACCCACCTCGTTTGGGGTGGATAGATGAACACGCGTTTCCGAGTATCCACCCTGGAGTGGATTTTTTAGGGTGGATAAACAGAATATACCCAACAATGAATCATTTTGATGTTTTTATTTACATTGGTAGCAAATAAGAAATGAAGTTTTTAATGTAAGTAATTCTTTAATGTAACACTTTAGACTACATTGAGGTTGTTATATTCTTTAGGCATTAATTCTTACATACACTATGTCTTATCACCGACTTCCGAATATGAAATTATCATAATAGGGTTTTTACTTTTATTAAAAGTTTTTTTTGCAATTATAAGTATTTGCGCTACACTATGGGTGCATACTGGCACAGTATATATTTAATAAACGCTTCTATTCATAGACGTTTCTAAAGTAAAAAAAAAAAATCCTAAGACTATAAACTTTTTTTTTAAACACATTGTTAAGAGAAGTAAAATCTAGACGAATCACTGGCGTAACTTTTAAAGTAGTTAAAAATCTTCATAAAATAATCCGGAGGGGGTGTAGCATTTGCCGGTAAATTTTGAACTTTTTGTAGAAAATTGTTATAACGAGCATTCTCTTCTTCTTTAAACAGCTGGCGCAAATTTACTTCTTCGTACAGTTGTATAATTTGCTTAATTTTTTCTGGATTTGAGTTTCCATAACATTCGTTGAAAATATTTCTTTGCTCGGTATTGAAGTGCTGTAATGCGACTACAGCCGTCCACGTTAGTTTATTATTTTCAATGTCGTTAGTGGTTTTTCTACTCAATGACTCGCCGACGTCGAAACACTCCGTAAAATCATTCTAAATAAAAAATTAAAAGCTTAAGTTATTTAAAAGCTGTAGTCAATAAGTGTCTCACTGCTGAGCATAGGGATCATCTTTTTACTACTAATACTACTAACAGTTGGTCCACCACACTACTCCAGTATGTACGTGATCGCAAATTTCACACTGGGTCCTCTAATTGTTTTAATTCTCAGATAAACAGATTTTCTCAGTGTTTTCCTTCACCGTCGAGTAAAAATTTACAAATCAATACTTAAAATTTCACTTTAGAGTTTCATTGGTATTAAATGCCCAACTTAAACCAATAGATAGGAACCTGTATGTATGCAGATTCTATATAGAATGGTGAAAAAGGTGCACAAAGCCCAACTGATGGTAAGTATGTGCTGTGACTTATAGATATCTACATTTATCTTCAATTAAGAATCAAAATGTAAATGCGTTGTTACCCCTGAGAACTAAAATGCCTTGTTTCCTGTAAAGGAGTCTCCGGTTCTTTACTATGTTATTTTATGCTGGTATTTTGTAAGAGTGTGGTTTTACTTCGATTAACCCGATTAATTATTGCTACAACTATAATATAGCTGCAGCTTAGCTCTACCACGGATAAATAAATATCATGCGTAAATGTAAGAACGATATTTGAAAAATACATTTATAAAGCTTACATGAATCTGGATGAAAACGCCAAGATCATTGCACAAATCAAGCACAAGCTTATAATATTCTTCGCTCGCCTTATTACATAAAATTAATGCAAATAGAATCGGTGTGTTCATGAAAAAATATGAAACTTTCATGTAACTCATCTTATCATAATTTTCCATCGTGAAATCGTTATAGTTTTTCGTTTGGGCAAAATATACATCTAGAAATTGCCCCATCTCCGTTACAAAGTACATCTGCAAAGAAACAAATATTTTTTTAAATTATTAAGTTCTCATATTTAATTCAACCACAAAAGTTAAACCCCTGCCGGATAAGGTTTTTTCAGTGTTCAGATATAAATCGTCTTATTTGCTACACTTGGTAGGCGAATTAGCAAGCTCAGTACCAGGTATTCGCTGCTTACCATCGCCGGTCTGGGTTATATATATATATATATATATAAAATTTATATAAAATTTTAATTACGATCCTGACATACTTCTTTCGCCTTCCTTCTAGGGCGTCCCTTCCTGAATTTGCCGTTCACATCTGCCATATAAATTTGCTTTGTCACTCTTTCCTCATTCATTCTTTCTACATGACCAAACCACCGAAGCATTCCTTTCTTAATCCTGTTCACAACATGAGTTCATTAATGAAACCATCACTTTCAACTCAGCCGCAAATATGACTTGATCATCGGCGTACAAAAGGCATTTGACGGTTAATTTGCCCATTTTTAACCCACATTCTTCATTTTTCAAAGTTTGCAAACAACTGTCTATTAATAGGTTGAACAGCCAAGGGGAAGCTACACAGCCCTGTCTGACACCTTTTTGGATGCCAAACCAGTCAGAGTAGACCCAGTTGATCCTGTCACAAGCACTAGAGTCCTTATAAAGAGACCTTAATGCCTGTATCAAACCCCATATCCTCAAACTTCCAAAGATCCCATACCCTATTCCCTTTCTAAATCCCTCTTCACACCCTTTTTCCATCAGTTTCTTTCATAACTCATTCAATTAACACCTTAGCATACGTTTACCCACAATACTAAGCAAGCTGATACCACGATAGTTTTTGCAGTCCTGCTGTGACCCTTTTCCTTTATATATTGGTACTATAACTGCTTTACACCAGTCCTCCGCTACCCGTTTTAATTCTCAACATAAATTGAACAAGGTGTATAGCAGGCCTGCCACCACTCCCTCTCTAGCCCTTAGCATCTCGAGTGATACTATATTATATCCAGCTGCCTTACCTGCTTTCATGCTTTTCATTGCTTTCATTATTCCATCTACACTTATCTTGAAATAATACTAATTTTTACGGAATTTATCGCGTATATTTAACTTTTTTACCCGACGTTTCGAGAGCTTTACAGCACCCATGGTCACGGGAAGGACTGAGATGTTCAACGTCCAGCTGTCATAGTTAACCGCGGTTACCATAGATTAAAATTTAACTTTTGTTCCGATCTACACAGTATGAACTTATGGTATCATGGAGTCTTGCAGTTGTATGCTTGGGTTGGGATTTAATTTTATTTATTATAGGATCCCAAGCAGATGGTAGCACCCAGCCATCTTCTCTATTGAAATTAGGATGATTTTTGATTTCAATAGCCTCGCGAATCATCCTTGGAAGGAATTGGTGTTCTTTAGCGAGGATTTGTGGTCTATCAAATCTGATGTAGTGACGGGGGCGATCCTGTACATGTTCATCGACGCTCCGGGAAGTCTGCAGTCTGTAAAATACAATTAAATCCCAACCCAAGCATACAACTGCAAGACTCCATGATACCATAAGTTCATACTGTGTAGATCGGAACAAAAGTTAAATTTTAATCTATGGTAACCGCGGTTAACTATGACAGCTGGACGTTGAACATCTCAGTCCTTCCCGTGACCATGGGTGCTGTAAAGCTCTCGAAACGTCGGGTAAAAAAGTTAAATATACGCGATAAATTCCGTAAAAATTAGTATTATTTCAATGTGTAGTGTTCGCGTAAATATAAGAAATCATCTACACTTATCTTCATACCTTTTTCTACTTCTTTCGGAATTTCTAGTTCATTTAATTCAGACGACTCTTCACTCATAAACACGTTTTCAAAGCATTTCTTCCATCTCCTTAAATTCGAAACTTCGTCACTCAGAATACATCAGTTTTTGTCTCGTATAGCATTACTTATAGGCTGTTTTGTATTTCCCCTGGCAGATCTTACGAGTTTCCAGAACATTTTTATATTAACCTGGAAGTTATCAGATATCCTTTTATCATTCTTATCCGTTCTTTCTTGCTTTTATCTTTCAATAACTTCTTTTACTCTCTTATTTAGACGTCAAAATTATGCTTTTTTTTCTTTCAATCTCATCATTCATACCACCAAAATTACCATCTTTGGTTGCTAGTAAATTTAACCATGCTTTCTTCTTTGCTTTAACTTCCACCCGTACCTCATCATCCCACCATAACGTATTACTTTGCCTTTCATTTGTTCTCTTACTTACACCACATACTTCGGTGGCTGCATCAACCATACGTTTCTTAATACATATTATCACACACAGTATTCAAGTCCAAATCATTCATACACAACTCATTCAAACACCTAATATTTTCCCCCAATCTACATTTACACTTCTCTTTCACATCTTCATCTTGTAACTTCTCTATTCTTATACGCTGTAATAAAAGGTAGACAAAGATTTCCAATGCCGTCCGTTGGGATTTTAGATATTTATAAATAATAAAACTGCAGATCGGGTGAAAAATGCGTGTGCTCCGTGTAATAATTCTCTTGTCCGGTAATGACATTAGTGACATTGGCAGATAAAATTAGACAATTAATATTTTTGGAATAGCTTACGGGCTTTTTGTCCCATACAGATAAAAACTTAATGTTGTGTTGCCAACACCGTTAATTTGACATAGGTCTTCACCATTCTGATTTACACTTTCATCACCAAACGTTCCCAATATCCTTTCATAACCAGACCTCTTCATCCCAACCCTTCCATTAAAGTCTCCTAACATATATTTTCATTTTCCTCACAATTCGTCAACACCATCCTTACCAGGAACCAAAACTGCTCTCGGATGTTAGTGGGCTTAGACATGTCTGAGGCGTACACCCCTAGCAGAAACAGCTTCTTTCATTTGTATCCATAGCAGCCTCTGGTTTACATATTCATACTCTTTTACACATTGACCCATTATTTCTGAAAGCATGAAACTGACTCCCTGGCATGCCCGTTCGGTCTACACTAGACCAATACGCGGTATACGTGCCATGTGCAGTGGAATCCTCTCCCACATAATACATCTATTCCTCTGTCATTCATCATTTCGCATACTTTATCTACCTTATCATTCATTGCTTCACATTGTAGTCAGATGGGCTTACGCAATCCACTTTTCACCCCTCCGGGAGACAGAACGTGACGGGTGGCAAACCTCGTCACCGGTTTTACTCCCGGAGATTCTACGCAACCCTGCCCCATTAAAGGGGTGCCGGGAAATAACAGCCTCTAATTGAGCTCAAATAATAAGTATCATCGGATCAGGTAAAAATTTTTATATGGTAGCTCTATGAAAGGAAACTGATTAACTCAAATATCGGATTACGTATATTATTATTATTAACTTATTAAAGATAAATCAGGAATTTTAAATCTTAACTCAATAAAATTTTAAGTGTTTTATTCACGACCTGTTTTGAAAACGAAAAGAAAACATTGTGACTGTCAATTATATGCAATATAAAAGAAGAAACTATAATATAGAAAATCTAAAACTAAAAATTTTAATAGTCAAAAAGACCTGCTCCCCGTGGTATAGTGCCAAGAACGCTGGCTGCGTGCAAATATGTAGTCATTTCTCAAAGACTCATATTTGCGCCATTTACTAAATTAGGCTGCCTCTGATGCCGCCCCGGCTCTAAAAGAGGTACCTTTGAGATGAGAGGCTGCCAAAGTGTCAACGCAAGTAGCATCCCACACTAGGGCTTTACCTCTCTCCCAAGGGACCAAAGTCATACCATCGGGTCTCCTGCCATCGTCTCTAAATATCCCGCAAGGCTCTAAAACCGAGGGCACATTTATGGAGACAAGAGCCCTTCGGATGATTTCGTTCAAAGAACCGTGACGGGAAAACCTACCTGCACTTTTCTTGCATGAAAGTCCGTGGAGCCCAAACTCATCGACGCTGCTACCACAGGGGCACTGGTGAGGTTGACAAATTGCCACTCCTAGCCGGATTCCTACGGCGATGCGCAAGCTTTCCCCATCAAGCAATGTGCCGAGATTACTTGATGGTAGAGCATGTAACCAGTGGCTAGATTCCTTAGTCGAAACAGCTAGAAGGCGAGCGTGATCTTGTTGACTGTAGAAATTTTAAAACAAATTATTCTGGACACTCCGTACCAACCGAATATCCCACTGTTTTTGTTGGTTAACTTCCAGTGGGACATTTTCGTCGGGACAGAGCGTTAGCCATGTTTGCCTTGCCTCGCAGCAGAGCACAGGTCTACTTTATTATTTAAAATTGTGTTACATAGATCATTGACACTATGCATGGAAGCAAGGAAAGCAGGCAATGCGACGCTAGAAATATTTCTTACACCAATACCACCAAATTTGATAGGTAAAGTGGCTTGATTATAGGCTATTGTATTGAATCTCAAATTTAGAATTTTTTCTAAAGCAATTTTAAGATTACTATCAATATCTTTTAAAATATCCGAACATTTGCAGACTGGACTTGAGCGTAACAAGTATGTAAATTTAGGTACAAGGAGACAATATTTTAAAATGGTAAGGGCAATATGGGGGTTTAAAATATATAATTTATCAACGTGATGTAAAAATTGATCAAATTTTGTTTTTAAAACAGGTTTAATACTATCGAAAAACAAGGGAGCACCGAGCAGGTAAAGCGATTCCGAATTGACAGTTTTTATTCCTGGAGAAATCTGATTGAAATTTTGAATTAAGGTATCTCTGTTAGAATTAGATAAATTATTAGAAATAAATATTTCACATTTATTGGTATTTGGTTCAAGACCAATATTTTTAAATTTTTGAAAAATATGAGTAAGATCATTAAGGACGTCATCTGCTTTACCTCCCAGTGTACCGTCGTCCAGATACCAGATATTCAGCTTGGATTTTAAATTTGAAATAATAGGCTGAATTCCCAAACTGAAAAGAGCTGGACATAATGGATCACCCTGATGAACACCGACAGCAGA